AGGCTCCTCTGTCATGGCATTTCCCAGCCAATAATACTGGTGTTGGTAACTAGTCCCTTCTCCGGGGGATCTTCCCAGGCCAGGGGTGGAACCCAGGTCCCCTGCACTGGCAGGCCGATTCTTCACCCTGAGCCACCAGGGAAGCCCTGATATCTTTCAGCACTCGGATGCCCTGCGGATCCTGGAGGAGGTCCAAAACCCTTGCTGGGCCTCGGTGCCACGCCTGTGGGAAAGGGTCCTCGGGGCATGGGGTCAGGTCCTTGCAGGAGGGGGTGGGGTGCTGCCCGAAGTGTGAGACCCAGCGCTCGGTTCGCCTGGCACCAGCACTACACCCTGACCGCGTGATCCTGGCTGAGTTACTCCTTCATGGTGCCCTGCTTCCTCATCCTGGTGACGACGTGACGTTCTCCACCTGCTCGTCTCCCCTGGTGACTGTCGCACGGAGGGGATGTGGTGACCGAGTGGTGGGACCTAGCTCCTGGCTGACCTGGGGGATCACTGGAGTTCTGAGGCTCTCGGTGGGGGTGAATGTTTAATTTGTGTAGAGAGAAGTGCACAGTCCAATAGGTGGATGGGTTCTTAAAACCCAAGTGCACCTGTAAAGCTGCTGGGAGCTGTGTCAGTGCCTGTGGTTGGTAGACTTGACTGAGGGAGGTGACCTGCCTTGATGTGGTGGGCCTGGTCCAATCAGTCGAAGGCCCTAAGAGCAAAACTGAGGTTCCACCAGGAAAGAAGAGGTTCCACCTCAAAACCACAGCATCGGCTCCTGCCCAAGAGGTTCTAGCTTGCCCTTCTTGTTATCATAAGGATTTCAGACGTGGCAGCCCCAAGGGCTGCAGAAACCAACTCCTTGAAATAAATCTCTTAAAAAATATTTCTCTCTATAAAGTACATGTGTGGATACAGTTCTGTGTAGATAGCTAGACAGAAGATAAGCTATAGATGATAAGATAGTAGATAGGTAGATGATCTATCTATCTACCTACCTACCTATCAAAAATGAACTCACCTGAACTAAAAAGATTAACCTTACTCAGGCCTGAAGTTCTCTTAAGTATTCATCAGCAGTCTCCCCCCTACCAAAGAAATAATACAGAGAGTTTCAGGGAAATTGCCCCATGTGGGAGCACATATTTTTTTGCTTCCGTGACTATTTCCCAGTTGGAAAGCTAGCCAAGAGCTGAAAGTATTTTCAAAAACTTCTTTGATCTCTTTCTTACGTCTAAGAAGTGTGTAAGCAGGGACCCCAGACTCTCCAGGCAGAAGACGAGCGATGGCTCTAATAACCACACAGCATGTGTGTGACCCTGCTGGAAATGACTGGTGTGAACCGTGAAAGAAAAGTGAATGCATTTGCTGCTCTTTGTGACCCCACGGGCTGTAGCCCACCAGGCTCCTCTGTCCATGCGATTCTCCAGGCAAGGACACTGGAGTGGGTGCCATTCCCTCCTCCAGGGGAGCTTCCGGCCCAGGGATGGAACCGGCATCTCTTAAGTCTCCTGCACTGGAAGGGCACTTCTTTGTCACTAGAACCGCCTGGGTGTGACCTGGTGTGCACCGCTCACCTGCTGTTCCCTCCCGTTGGAGGAGCAGAGCTGGGTCCATCACGTCGGCCCTGGGGCATCGGTCCCTTCGTGGTCACACACGTGACGGCTTCACCCTAAGCATCACTGCGGTGCGCGGGGTGGAGGCGGCGGGCTGGACCGCCCCTCCCGGGCGCCCCCCGACATGCTCCCGATCCGTCCAGAAGCTGGCGGGGTGTTGCGAGTTTCTGTCCCGACAGGCTATCATGGCCAAACCCTCCTGGGCATTCACTCTTGTTCCTCCCCAAAACTAATACGGAAAAGCTAAGAGCCTTGAAGGCCTTGCAGGTAATCAGGAGCCAGTCTCCCAGCCCCCCTCCCCAGGGAAGGGGGGAACGCGGCTCAGGTGGGTGGAAGGGTGTCGATCAAGGGTGGAAGCCTCTCAATCTCCACGTGTTTCTTTCTTCAAACCGATCTGGCTGAGACATGCCTGCTGCCAGCCTTTTCCTCCCTTTGCGATCTCTGTTTCCTCACTTCTCGTAAGGACGACGCCGTGCTGCCTCCCCCCCTCCCCCACCCCCCGCGCGGGAACCTCCCCTGAGAGCCAGGGGCCCGGGCTGGGAAGGTAAATGGTGCAAGGTCTCTGCACGTCTGGCGGGTCCACCTCTCTGTGATCATCCCCGGAAAGGATGGGGGGTTGTGCTGTCAGGTGGCTGCTTGGAACAGTATTGATGATAGATCATTGCGATGTTTGTGTAACTAAGGGTTTCAGAGGACCAACTGACATTTTTACACCAAAATTATCTTCTATTCTCATCTCTTTATGTGCACTTTCAATAACCACAACAAAATGACTTGAATAAATTTGAAACACTTTTAAAAATTTGTTGTTCATTGTTCAGTCACTAAGTCGTATCCAGCTCTTCACGACCCTATGGACTGCAGCTCCCCAAGCTTCCCTGTCCATCACCATCTGCCAGAGCTTGCTCAAACTCGTGTCCACGAAGTCAGTGATATCACCCAACCATCTCATTATCTGTTGTCCCCTTCTCATCTTGCCCTCAATCTCTCCCAGCATCAGGGTCTTTCCCAATGTGTCAGTTCTTCTCATCAGGTGCCCAAAATATAGGAGCTTTAGCTTCACCATCCGTCTTTCCAATGAGTATTCAGGGTTGATTTCCGTTAGGGTCTATTCAGTTTGGGCTGTGCTGGGTCTTTGCGGCTGTATGGGCTTTTCTCGTGGCGATGAGCAGGCTTCCGCAGCTTCTCTTGTTGCAGAGCATGGACCCTGGAGCCCTGGCTCAGCAGCCGTGATGCACGGGCTTAGCTTCTCTGCAGCATGTGGGACCTTCCCGGACTCAGGCTCGAACTCACATCCTCTGCGTTGGCAGACAGATTCCTTTCCGCTGAGCCCCCAGTGAAGCCCTGAAAAATATTTATTTTTGGCAATAAGCAATAGCCCAGTTACCCATTCTATTTACAGTTTCATTTTCAATGACATTGCATTTTCTCTATTTGATGAGTTTTAAATGTATAACATATTCTTACTATTTTGCTCCTTTTAAAAAAAATACATTGTTTTTAAAAATAGCTCAATCCAAAATTAAAACTTACACAAAACTTCTGTAAGAAAATAAAATTTCAATGTATATATATATGTGTGTGTGTGTGTATACACACACAAACACACACACATATATCTTTTGTTACAAAGAAGAATGATTGAGTCATCAATAGAAGACTTAAGAACAAAGTGAAAAGTGAAAGTCGCTCAGTCATTTCTGACTCTTTGCAACCCCATGGACTGTAGTCCATGAAATTCTCCAGGCCAGAATGGTGGAGTGAGTAACCTATTCCTTCTCCAGCAGATCTTCCTGACCCAGAAACCAAACTGGGGTCTTCTTCATTGCAGGCGGATTCTTTACCAACTAAATTATCAGAGAAGCCCTTACAAAGGTAGATACAATTAAGGTTATTGATACAATAATATGAGTGGATAATATTAGGATTGTAAATACAATGGAAAAAGTAAAAGTGAAGTTGCTCAGTGTTGTTTGACTCTTTGGGAACCCTTGGACTGTAGCCCACCAGACTCCTCCATCCATGGAATTTCCCAGGCAAGAGTACTGGAGTGGGTTGCCATTTGGGTTAAAAAGAAGATAAGAAATCTTTCCCAAATGTTAAAGAATAAATTGTCTATGATTATTAAATGGATGAGGGTGGGTATTGATTCAGAATCACGCTTAAATTTTAAGATGCTCGTGGGTTTTTTAAGATGTTCAGGTGTAGCCAGTCAGTGGAAAGAGTAATGTGACAATTTAATTTTAAGGTGTTAACACAAAATTGCATATTTTGCAATTACTTGAGTAGGATGGAAAATTCTCGATGTCATCAGAAAGCCAAGTGAGGGGACTGCGGGTGAGAAGGCAGTTTGGGGGACGTGGGTGAGGGCAGCTGGGGACCTGCTCGTGCAGTGACCGCGGGTGTGAGGGCAGGGCCTGCCGGGGGTCCTGAGCGGGTCTTGCTGCCCTTTGCCTCTGTCTCCCGAGCCCCCCGGGGCCGTGGTGAGCTTGGCAGGTGGGGCTTCAGGGAGGCAGCAGTCCAGTGAGTCTTTGTCCGGACGGCTCTGAATGCCCTGTGGACACTCAGCACCTGTCCGGGCGGGCCAGCTGACCTCCCAGGGCGTGTTGTGTGTGGAGACTCCGCGGTGTGACACTGTTAGGACAGCAGGGTCCCTGCCGATGGTCTCCATGGAAACCCCCCTCACCACCTTTCCAGCGTATCCGAAATCAAGACTTGAAATAACTCTAAGCCCATTGTCTTATTCCTTTCTCTTTCCATCCCATGAGCATCATATGTCTTCCAGAAACTGTCAGAAACGTGGTTTTGAAAACCCTGGAGTTTGTTTCCATTTTTACCCTCCCCAAGGCCCTTTCTCAAGATCACTCAGCTTCTACATCGAGCCCGCGCAGGGAAAGGTGTTCCTTATTCTCACACCCCCTTTCTTCCCTCTTTTTACAAAAGGAGCTTTTATTTATTGTCCTCATTATTAATGACATTGCTACCATCTGGCTGCTTTCTTAGAGTCTACTACTCTGACCAGAGATGGCCCTAGAGACCAAGGTGGGTGGTTGCCAGTCTGAGATGGGGTGAGGTCCCCCACGAGAGGCTGTGCAGAGCGTCTGTGGGTTGGGGTTGTCCTGGGCGTGAAGGGCTCTCTCTGAATCAACTGTGAGACACATCAGGCGCTGCTGTTCCCGCTGACCGACGAGGCGGGGGTCCGAGGGCCGTGCTCGCACCCGGGTCTCATGGACCAGAGGCCCCGACGGAGCTGCCTGGGATTCTTGTCAGCTGGCGCTTGTACAGAGCAGCATCATGAACCAAGGAGGCTGCCAGCCAGGGCCGCTGTGAGGGCTGCTCAGGGAGGAGGGAGCTTGTGGGGCTTCCTGGTAACCCCATCTCCGGAAGACATTCCAGGGCGAGGGGGAGCCGGAGGGTCCTACAGGGCGGTTGGAGAAGAACGTGCGGCTCACCCGGCAAACGCTGAGTCACAGGGTGGTAGTGGGCGCCCCCCAAGGTGAGCAGCGGGCGCCTCTGCCCAGGCTTTGCCCCACGAGGGCTCTGGGCTCTCGGCAGTCACTTGGGGGCCCACGTGGCTGCCTGGACACCCAGGTCCAGCACCAGCCTGAACGGCTCAGAGCCCATGTCCCCAGTCCTCCCTGGGGCCTGGAGCCCACACTCTGCCCCATGTAGACCCTTCATCCAACTGCATGGCCAGAACAAAGCGAGTTTTCTTCATCTGACACATGAACAGCATCTGGCGAGAAAAGCCGTGGAATAATTGAATGTGATTTGATGATTTGGGGGCTTTTATCCCAGCCTCGATGACTTGTGAGGTTCCCAGCTGCAGTTCACGGAGCTGTCGGTGGTTGCAGCTTCGCAGACAGGTATTATGAATGCCAGGGTGGAGAGATCGGGGGAATTCCTGGGAACACGTGCTGCAGTCCTGCCCGTAACTGATCATTAAGATCAACTGTTTACCCCGCGATCCAAGTATTTCCTGCAACAGATGAAGAGCCCTCACAAACACGACCAGGTACAGAATATAGTCTGATTTTGCATTTAATTTTTTTTTGCATTTAATTTTTAAATTGAATTTATTTACAAAGAAGCTCTCTATGCATGTGATTCAAAAAGCAGGTACTTATTCATCAATAAAAAGTGATCATCAGTCAATAATGGCACAATATTCTCTTGTGAATTATTTGCAAATGGGAGATTCAAAGTATGCCACTAGCAACAGGCAAAGGGGGCATTTGTGATGAGGCCACCTAATGTGTGATTGTGTGTCACACGCACACGGCAGCGTTTCCTAGAAGTCGTGTGTCGAGGGCTCTTGACCCGCCTTCTCCGTGTTTTGGTCACAGTTGTCACGAGGCTGGTCACTCTGATGTGGACACGCTCAGTCCTGTCTTCTGGGGATGGGTAGGGGCCGGGTGCTAAGATGCTGGGGATGGATGCCTTTGCCTCAGAATCTCCAGGGTTCCAGGGCCCAAGAGGAGCCCATCTGTCACGGAACTCAGCCTTCTGAGGTCGGGGCATCACCCCGATTTCTTCCAGCCCCACTGCGGGGGTGTGGGAGGCGGTGGCTTCTTTTCACACCTTCCACCAGCCCCTCAAGCATCTTTCACTATGAACCAGCAGGCCAGGGGACTGCATCTGACACTTTAGACATCACACAGGCGTTATTTCCTAAAATACAACCACATAAACCATGTGAAAGCACTTGAAACCAGGACGGCACTTTCCATACGTGGAAATTGTTCAAGACAACCTGTGCTATTAATACTTTTTTTTTTTTTTTTGCTCATAACATTGGGAAAGTATTTAGTGTGAAACCAACCTCGGATGGGTTAGCATGGCTCCTGGACTTGTAGTTATTGCATTTTTAGGCCCAACGGAGGGGCAGGAGACAGAGGCCAGCCGGCAGGGAGGAGGTCAGAGCCGGGCCCCAGGGGGGAAACAGCCCCAGGGTCTCAGAAATAGCCTGTGGTCCCCACCGTCCGTGTTTCTGCACCCCCCCACCAACACCATAAGACAGATACCCCAGAGGGAACCCCTAGGAGAGTGGGGTGCACTCTCACGACTTCACCAGCTCAGAAAACACAATGGAAGAGGCTGTATGTGCAGGTGTGGCAGGCAGGACCCTGGTCCCCACTTCCCCCCAGGCTGGCGGACAACGGACGGATGGACAGACAGACAAGCCTGCAGCGCCTCGCTCAGCACGCCCGTTGACTGGAGCAACGTGGCTCCCGCCAGCCAGCCCATCGTACAGGAATGAACCCCGAGGAGGAAGAGTCGGGGTTGGAGAGCCTTTTGATCTTCCTGAGAGATGGTTGCCAGATGGGGAGACGGAGAACCGCTCGAATATTAGGAATATACGCTTAAAATCATCTTCATCTTGTTCAGCTTTTCCTTGCAACTCCATATTAGAGGAGAGATTTATCATAGCCACGATTAGGGGGGGAAGCTTTTAAGGGAAAGAGGGTACCTTGGAGATGTCAAGGGCAGGCAGGGGTGTAATTTAGGGCTCGTGTCACTCAGTCAAAAGGGCTCGTTTATCCCAGGGAAGGATGAAGACACATACGGAACACATTTATGGAAAATATCCACCCATTGATCTGTTTATTACTCGGATATGAAGAGAAAGATTTTGAAAACCTTTCCCCACATTTTTCAGCTTTGCCACTCCCGGCTCCCAAACACAGACCTTTTTTCTCTCGATCTGCAGGCTGAGTCTAAAAGGAGTCTCTGAGATGTACATGATGATAAGAAAAATACATTTAAAATGATATAGTTTAACTATGTCCACCTCCACCGGGATTTTTACGTCTAGAGATAAAGATCAAACTCCATACAGTTGCATTTATACCGTGGAGACATAATTGAAACAGTGCGTGTTTGTACTTGCCCTAATTGTTGACATAAATTTACCCAAAAAGAAACTTCGTGACCATTCAATCAAATATATTAATTTTCCAATGAAAGCTTTCAGATCAGATTTCTAATTATGACTTGAAACATCCCTCATCAAGCATTTAGTCCAACCAAAACAAGCAGAATGTTTAAAATTCACCTTTGAGGAGCAAACTATGGGTCCAAAGCAATGGAATTTGGTGAGCCGGCTGCATGGACAAACCCGTGTTTACGCTTCCCTGTCGAGCTGAAAAGGTACCAGACGTTTGTCAGTGGTGAGTGTTTTTCTTGCAGGATGCACAGTGCTGATGTACATGGGTCCTGATTCTGCCAAGTGTCCCTGTGGGAGTGACGCCCATGCTTTGGATGCATTGAGAATGCTGCAGTTTAGGACGTACTAAAGATGGAGTCGGCCGCCTGGCACAGAGAGACACACGTGCTGGGCAGACCCTGGGCACCACGCTTGGCAGGGGTGTTATCCCCGACCCCAACCAGCCTGCTGGTCCCCTTGTTCCCGTCCAACAGTGACCTGGGTTCCTGGGTCAGCAGTCAGCGGGGGTGGGGTAGCCACTCAGTCATGCCCGACTCTCGCGACCCCATGTGCCGCAGCCCACCAGGCCCCTCGGTCCGTGGACTCTCCAGGCAAGAGGACTGCAGTGGGGAGCCATCTCCTCCTCCAAGGGGGTCTTCCCAAAGCCGGGTCTCCTGCATTGCAGGCAGGTTCTTTACCCACTGAGCTATGACGGGAGCCCCAGGAGTCAGTACTTCCCACAGTTTGGAATCAGAAGAGAAGTCAGAGTATTCACTGAGAGTGCTCATTTAGAGTGCTTACATCAAAATTAAGAAGGAGTTAATTCCATTCCACTATCCTTAGATTGTTCAAAAGAAAATCTCAGAGCTGCGAATATGGAACAAATCCCCTTTGTAAGTCACAGCTGTGAGTCAAGATTTCATGTTTAAATATTTGCAACAATGAGGCTCAAAGGTTGGAGCAAACAGGTTTACATGACCCGTTGATCGAGGTAGTGAGCTGTGTGTGGAAGGGCTGTCTCCCACTTGAACACACAGCTGCTGCCGGTGGTCTACACTGTCTGCATTTGCTGGACTTTTGGGGGCAACTGATTGCTGGAGTCCCAGAACTGAGATCCCACCAGTGGGGATGCTGGGTCCCTGCACACCCTCACTCCCCGCACTGGCTGCTCAGGGACCCTCCTCCAGGTGGGGACCGCCTCTCCATCACCTCTAATGGAGCAACAGGCTCATCTGCTCGAGGGACCCACTGCGGCTGGAGGTTCCCCCATCCTGCTTCCTAGGGCGGGGCCAGTAGCAGCAGCCCCCCGTCCCAGGGCCATGGGAAGGAAATTTGGGTGCCCCCTCCCCTGCCTGTCACACCCCCTCTCACACGCACAAGAGCCTCGCTTGAGTGTCTCGTAGGATGGGGAGCGCCCTGCTCCATGCTGAGGGCAGATGCTGGGTCACTTAAGGCAATGTTGGCAAGAATTTCATCATCCACCTCCGAGGCTGGCACGGGGGTCCTCTCGCTTCGAGAAGACCGAGGATTTGATGTGGGAACTTACTTACCATTCACTGAATATCCACGACCACGAATTCGTGCGTCTTAAACGATGTCTTTATACTAACCTTCTGTGTGCGGGCGTCATGCCGGATAAAGAAGGGCAGGACCATGGTTCACAAGGCGCGATTTCTGCATTTGAGAACCCAAGGCTACAGGCAGAGACAGCAAACCGGAAAATGGCAGAGACAGAGAGACACCCTGAATTAAGGATCTGATGTGGAGGAAGTTTGTGGGGTTTGTACCTGTGGAAGGAAGACAGGACAGAGGGAGATAAACACAGATGAGGCATCACCCGGGCGGAAAATAAGGTGGCAAGTACATTCTGTCTCTGTGGTTATAAGGAGGCTGTTAGAATACTCCTGCAGAATAAGCAACGGGAGTCCATGTGATAGAAGTGAGGAAAATGTTTCAAAATCTTTTAGCAGAGTCCACACTTAAGGCTATTAAAATATGTCACTGATGCATGAAAAACAGAAGTGCTATTTCTGTACACCCTCCTTCATCTCACTCGGAATTCGCTTAAGTGCAATTGGCAAAGCCACGCATATAAATATATATTTAATATCCCTCCATAGAAGAAGAGATGTGCATGAGTGTGTGTGTGTCCACTGGGATGCACAGCCAGTGAGAGACTGTCTAACCTGGTGACCCAGCCCGTCCCCAGGATTCCTATGGAAACTGTACATGCCTGGTAATTATTATTCTCACCCTATTAGCATAATGATAGCCCACTTCCCTGGCGCTGCATTTTTATCCACTATCTCCCAGAGGTCTTTAAGCTTGTTAATAATCATTACAGATAGCCAATGAAGTGAATCACGGCTAAAATGAACTCACCTGAACTAAAGAGATTAACCCTACTCAGGCCTGAAGTGCCCCATAAGTATTCATCAACAGTCTCTCCCTATCAGCAAATAAATAATAAAGAGAGTTATGGGGAAATTACCCCGCCTGGGAACACATATTTTTGCTTCAGTGAGTGACTTTTTCCAAGTGGTTCCAGCTTTAATTAACACTACCGGACGCATCTGAGCCATTTTCAGATGCAATATCCTACAGATGTGGTAGGGGGTTTCTTGATGCCTCAGCATTTTATAAGATGCTAAGATAAATCCATCTGCTGATACGATGCTACATGAAACAGATACTCAAGCAACGGATCATCAAAAGAAAACTAAACTGACCTTAGGATGGAGCATAATTTGCTTTCTTCCTGTCCCCTTTTTTCCCTTTTATAATCCCAAATCAGGTTTTTCTCAGACACAAAAATGTTTCTGATTCTTTGTCCCAATTTGCTGTATGATTTGGGCTGGCTCTCGGTCACTCTGAGCTTCCCATCACATAGACGAGATGAGCCATTGCCTCCCACAGAAGTCATGTGATGGACAGGGCCATGTCTGTGCCCAGGCAGGGGGCAGAGACCACTAGTGGCCCTAAAATTCATCCTGAGAACGTGGAAGTCCTGCAACCTTACCAGCTGGCTACCGTTCCGGTGAGCTCAGCCTCTCGAGAATAAAGCTTCTTTCCAAATCTGTGCAAGTTCTCATCTTTATTCCTTAATTATGAAGAGCTCATCAAAGCATAATAAATACCCTTTTCAAAACTGCAAGAAATTGCATGATATTCTGTTTATTAGAAAGGCACTGCAGATCAGTGCCAGGAAATTTCCATAACACAAATGAGAAAGGGGAAAAAAAAAAAAAAGAGCAAGAGGGGGAGGAAGAAGGAAAAGAAAAGAAAACACAAAGAAACACAAAGCCCAGACCGTTGGCCCCAGTCGGCATGTTTTCCCACATTTTAGCATCTATACCACAGTCGATCTTAAAGGAAATCAGTCCTGAATGTTCATTGGAGGGACTGAGGCTGAAGCTGAAACTCCAATACTTTGGCCACCTGATATGAAGAACTGACTCACTAGGAAAGACCCTGATTGGAAAGATTGAAGGCGGGAGGAGAAGGGTACGACAGAGGATGAGATGGTTGGATGGCATCACCAACTCAATGAACATGAGTCTGAGTAAAACTCCAGGAGCTGGTGATGGACAGGGAGGCCTGGCGGGCTGCGGTCCATGGGGTTGCAAAGGGTCGGACACGACGGAGCAGCTGGACAACATCTGCAGCAGACTTCCCTCCCTCACCCACTGAATCTTCCTCTTGGAAGGAGTTGGGAGCCACAGATTGCGTCTCGACTGCTCTCCTCCCAGGGAAGTTCTCTGGGGGCCGGCAGCTTAGCTGAGGGTCTTCATTGCTGAGGCTCCCATGTGGACCACAGTGGACTCCAGCCAGACTCAGCATCTCCCGTCCCCCCTGGGGGCTCCAGGTCCTTCTCCCCCTTCCAGGGGAGGGCCGTCCTCCACTGCCCAGGCTGGGCTGCACACCATCACTCAGTGTGTGTGCACACACACACATGCACACACGTGTGCACACATACATGTACGTGCACACACATACATGCACACGCACCCGTGCACAGGCACACACACACATGATTTCCTTATAGAACGCATCTCGTCCCCTTCACCATTCCACCTCTGGAGACCTGGCCTGCTTACTGCCCATCCATCCGCACGGCCTCTAACTAACCCCTACCCTTAACACTTTTATGGCTGTTCAGTAGTGCCTATTGCTACTGTTGTACCTGACCCTGCTCATCTGGTGAGTCGGATCTTGTTGAACACAAACTCACATGCACACACACATGCACACATACACGTGCACACACACATACACACATGCACGTGCACACACACACACGCACACCTGACCCTGCTTATCTGGTGAGTCGGATC